GACTTTTATTTACAATACATTTACGACACGATACGACGTATTTGTTTGTGACAAATTTTCATCATTTTCTTAGTACTTCTTTTCTGTTTCGTCATTCTACGTGATAAATATGGCTGATCAGTTATAAGGGGCTCAACGTTGCCGAATTTCGCGATCTGAAGTCCTTAAAGTTATTACAAAGTTTACGTACATCAGACTGTCTGGGTTCATCCGTTTGTCACCGACGCGCATAATCAGTCCGGTAACGAGAGGACTCGAAGCTCGGCAGTCGTCGCTTTAGCTACCAATCGAAACGTGTTGAAGTGGGTGGTATTCTGCTCGTTTGTTATTCCGACGGAGGGGGTGAGAAAAAGAAGAAGCACGAAGGTGGAGGAAAAAGAAAGGGAAACAGAGTTGACGGGAAGCAGAGCGGGAGACAGGGAGGAAGCGAGGACCCTTAACTCGATCCCAAGTTCGACCTGAAAGGCTGACGTTTCCGTCCTTCAGCGGACGTCGCACTTTAAACGCCGACTATGACGACGACGAAGACGACCACCGGCGAGACCTCGACTCGACTCGGCTATACTCTACTCTACTCTATACTTTACTCTACTCCCGCACGTTATGCACGGGCATTCTGGCCGGCGGATTTTCGAACGACGAGAGAACGTAAATCTCGCATCGATGGCACTCGGCCGCTCTTCCTAGTTACGTGATATTCTATAACACACCGGCCACCGAGATCGTAATGGGCTCTTTAACGTAAATGTGTCAAGAACCACGGAAGCGGATGTAACGTAATAAACTCGCCTCTCGACCGCGCGCCGCTCATAGCTACTTAATATTGCGGGTTACGCGGGCGCTTCTCGCGGATATACAGGGTGTCCTATGACAAAATATATACATACTAAGAGAGCGTTTCTGGGGGATCAATTTGAGCAGAAAACTTCCTATAAACGTAGATGAAATTCACAATAGTTACCTACGTACAGACGTTCATCAAAACCAACGTTAAAACTGTAACTGAGTTACAGTTCAATTTTACAGTTAAAAATTGAGCTATGAGCTAATAATTGAGTTACAATTTTTTTTAATTCCATGTTATCGAGAGGAAAAAGTTCAACACAAATCAAAAGGTTATAAAAGCAAAGATTATTGAAAAAAATAAAAATCACATAAATTGTTCAAATTGTACTGCAATCTAAAATGGACAGAGTGGCCGCATGAAAAACCTCGTGATTTGCCGATATACATCATTAATATGCTGTATTAATGCAGGTCTCTCTCTCTCTCTCTCTCTCTCTCTCTCTCTCTCTCTCTCTCTTTGATGTTCACTCTTTTATACTTGAAAGAAAAACCTTCTTTCGCAAGATTAAGAAAAACCAACCAGATTTAGTTTTTAACTTGAAATGCTTATACCTAGTACATTGTGAAACTGTTGTAACTATTGTGAATTTCAACTATGTTTATATAGGAAGTTTCCTGCTTAAATTGATCTCAGGGATCAGGAGCGTCAAGGACGCTCTTAGTATGTATATGTTATGGGACATCTTGTGTACGCATATTTATTTTACTCGGTATCGTCGTCATAGCGTTGAGGAAAATTTGCACATGTCCGGGAAACGCGTCGTCAATGTCGCGCGAATTTTCGATGAAAATATGAGCACGTGTGTGTTTTTCTTTTTTTTGTAACGTTTATATCGACGTTATACGCGCTGAAAATATGTTGATTCAAGTTTGATTTTCGGCACTGAAAACACCGATAGAAGAAATTCTGGTTTTCAACACGACGGCAAATATTATGAAAGAAAGCAAACATCGCGAGCAAAAATAGATGCATGTGTGTATTGTTTTCTTTTCTATTTCTCTCTTTCTATCTCTCTCTATTTTATTAAACGGAAAATACGATTTGCGAAATCATGCGGCACGAGATGCGGACTTGATGTGACGCTACGGGTGGAATCTTCGCGCTGGCTGAACGTAAATGGCGCGCCGCCATTCTCACGCGGGGATTTATTTAGATTTAGCGTAGATCGCGAGAGAAGAGCGCGGAGAGACGACTAGGGAACAAAGTTAAATAAATTTCGCTCCTTCGACGACTCTCATCCCCCCTGCCCCATCCACCCTTTCCCATGCCGGCATCCCTGAGAGAGCACAGTGCGCGTAGATCCTCCGGTCTACAGAGGACACTTCACGTTGGCGCGTAAAAAATTCACTTTGCATTTTTACAATTCGCCGGGAAAAGGAATCGACGCAGTATTGCCGCCGGCATAGATATAGTCCTTTCGACACAGTCGAGGAAGCGCCCGCCGTTTCGCCGTCGCTCGTACTCCCGCACTTAAGGCACTCGTCTCTCTCCTCTCTCTTTCTGTCTCTCTCTCTCGACGATTCAAATTTTAATTCAATTACGAGGACGACGAGGCGCGCGAACGCGCCTTTCCCTACGTCTTCGCCAGTTCCGTCCACTTCTTTTTCTTGCGGGGACTTCTTCTTCGTTCCCCATCCCACGTCTTTACCCCTCTGGGCGAAATCTGAATTTAATTATGACCCTTCACGTAACCGTTTTAGTACCCACACCACTGTCCGTGGCCTATCTCGCTCTCGCATCATCCGCCACCGCCGCCACCGTCGGTGGACGAAAAGTCGCGCGGCCAATTCAGCCTCTGCGGATTCTCGGAGTCGGAACAGGATCGCTCGCGCGAAGTACTTTAAATCTTAAATGGCATTTAATTCCTCCCCATTACTTCCCGATCTGTCCGTTCGCGTCTCATCGAATCTGCTGCCACCGCGACGACGACGACTTATCAGTTTCACGCTCGATTCCCCGACCGCGCGAGACTAGAACGTGTAAGTAGCTAAAGACGGTGGTAGTCAGCCCTGCGTAATGATGAGCGCGCTTCCAGCATAATTGAACTCGCAATTATATCCGTCACATTGTATGCTCGCGGTGGAACCAATCTTTTTTAATGGATAACTCTTTTAATTGATAACTTTTTTAATGGATAAATACATGTGGTTATTTGCAAAATAATAGAGGATTTTCTTCAGTTCAGGACTTTGTTCAGTTTGACTTAAACTGTCGCATAATATTTTTATGAAATTCTTCTAAAAGAAAAAAATTATCGGGATTGTAATAACATCAAAATTAGAAGCAATCATTCTTGTTTCTTGTGTCGCATGGCTCTCATGGCCGTACAATCGTATATTTGTTATTTTTTACTCACCGGAATATCTCGAATTCAAAGCTGGCCATGTTCTTTCGGAGAAATCCTGAATAAGAAGATATAGTTGTACAATTAAATTAAGGATTCGAGCGAACGAATAAGTACGGGGAGATAGAACGGATTAACCCATTACAATTGCACTTGGGCGACTTTTATTCGGACAACTATATCTCAGCGTTCGATCGTAGAGGGTTAAATGAGGAGCACGGGAAATTTGTGAAACTTACCTTCGAGCTGACCCTGCTCAACCCAAGCCAGATCCTCCTGTACCGCGTCAATGTCCACGGGAACCGCAGCTACCCTTGCGGTGTGGTTGTAAGCTATGCCAGATCTGAAACAGAATTAATGTGTGTCTGATTAGTTATATTAATCACAACTTCTCATAAAATTAATTGCCAAGTACCGCCAAATCGAGAATAAGATATTCCAAGTAAGAATGAATCAAGACAATGCGTAACTCTCTTTTAATAACTGTAATTTAAACAAAATGTATATATGTGAAAGAGACAGTATTATTTTTTATATTTGAAACATTAATTCATCAAGCTCAATAGAAAGGGAGAGAGAGAAGAAGAGAGAGAAGAGGAAAAAAGAATATAAAACAATAGATAATAATACAAAAGCAAAAACAATATTTGTGGATAAATAAAATACTTTTGTGTATACTGAGAGAAAATATCTAAAAATAAGTAGATATTTATTTAATTAAATTAAATTTCAATTATATTATATTTAAATTACATTATATTATATTATATTATATTTATTATATTTAATTATATTATATTATATTTATTATATTTAATTATATTATATTATATTTAAATTACATTAATTAATTAATTAATTAATTACTAGATTACATTTATTTAATTTACTTAAAACTAAATTCTTTTACTACGAAAGAACAAATAATTGCTTTTACGAAAAACTGAGGTATTCTAAGGTTTGAAGAGAATATATATTTTGTCATTTGTGAAATGTATCTCATATTAATATAAGTAAATATGCTGTGTGCACCCGACAAATAAATATTTACTATTCCTCAGATATTTTTTCTCAGCGTAACGGTAGTTGAAAGTACGCGAGGTATTAAATGTTGAGTAGAAATAATAGTATAAAATAAAGCAGAAGAAAAAGGAAAAAAAAAGAGCCAATGACAACACGTACTACCTTTTCAATTTCGAGACACACTCGCTGGGAGAACGATACTGACACAATGCACACACACGTACGAACCGACTTAAGGTCTGTTGCTCCAACTTTTTGATAAGTTAAATCATATATCTGTTTTTTGTTTTTCCTTTAACTTAGACAAAGATACAAATATGATTTAACTATCAGTTAATTTACCAAGAAGTTAGAACAAGCGACCCTTAATCCTTATAATGCCGCACAACGATATATCGTTGTTAGCAACACTTGCGAAAAGTGCCGGACTATCCGCGTCGCCAAAGAACTCTGTCTCAAAACTAATTTTATAAGATATTATAAATGGTTGAATTTCTTTTCAGAAACTCTTCTCAAACCCTATCAAACTACATCAATTTGGTCCGGTATTTTACGCTTAGGTTCATTTTTTTCGGTCGTCACTAAAAGGGCTAATGTATTTTTGCACATGCACTATTCACATTGAAAAAATCGAAAACGAGCCGTGTAAGCCGTTGCATTCACTCACGCGCTCAAAACGGGTCCCTTGTCAGACGCGTGTCTATGTCTGTGTCGCGCGCGGCCGACCGCGTCCTTCAAAACAACACGCGTTTGGTACAAACGATGATAACAGTCTTGGGCGCGACAGTGAGCAGTGCGAACTGCGTCGCTCTTCCCGATTCTCCCGACGTAATTATCGCGCGCGCTCAAAGACGAGTTACGTTAATTCGCGAGTGTGTGCATCGCGTCGGTGTCAATCCCCTGAGCAACGAAAGCGTCTTGAAACTTCGCAGGTAATTACCTTTTCGTTCATATTGAATTCCAAGGAGAATCGCGTATTATCTCAATGCATTATGTTACATTGTATTACATTATAATGTTAACTTTTTGGAGCACAGTGGTTTCACCGTGAGATCACCTATTAGAATCAAATCACAGCTTCAGGCACAGTGATCCCGTAACGAAATCACCGCTCAGCCTGTGCATAGTGATGCACTTTATCGGTTTTTTGTATTACTTATAATATCCGCTTCAGTTTGCGCGCGGTATTGGCAAAAGTAGGGAAATAGAACAAATTTCAAATGGAATGATCTCTTGGATTGTGTTATTCTAGATGTGAATATTTTATAGGAATGCAAATTTTTAAAACCCTGTGCTTCAAAAAGCGCATTAAATATGCACATTGCTCTAAATTCGCAATTTGTCGAATCTCCTCGTTTCTTATGACTAATTTGTTATAACTAAAGCCAAAAATTTCATCTCTTGTTTTAGATCTGTCGGAACTCGTGGGTAGCTTTCTGGTGGACACAGATGCGGCAGCACCGGAGGATCCGATTCGAGCCGAGCAGAGCCGGAAAGTAAATTTAAAAATTTTCTACACTGCGCTTCGAACTCTTTGCGATTAAAAAATACGAATTTATTCGTGAAACATATATTATAATTATATTTAAAATATGTATTTATAAAAGTATGTCTATTTATTTATTTCAGATCTGAAAGCGGAACGTAGCTGGCTCTGAATCGGTGATATCGGTAAGTCAGAAAATTGAATGTGAAAATTGAGTATTGACCGATATATAGATTTATATATTAGTCATATTTATATATTCGTAATGACAAGCTTTTCGTGACGCTCGTTGAAATCAATGCTATTTACGTCGCATATAAATGTCTGCATGCTAGTTTTGGTATATTCATGTTTTATTTTTGTATGTTTATGTTTTTTTTCGTACAAAACATGTTGCTCGGACCATTTGGGAAATCGTTTTTTCATCACATTCCTATGTTATATTCCGAGTCAGAAATAACAATGCACAATAAATTTTATGAATACTGACTTGTTATTCTAACCGGACTACCTAAACCTTCTGTTTCGTTTGTCCTTCATATCAAATACGCGTTCAAATATCTATTTCATCGCAAAATTTCCAACATCAAAAAATAATGAACGGAGTACGAGAAAATAAAACGTATTGGTTTATTCATTCATTAGTCTGTTTAATTTTCAACAAATATTGAATGTTTCTCTCATGAACATATCTGATATATTTTGATCTTTTTGGTAAATAATTATTCATACGTATTACTTTATCTGCTCTTATGTTATGATACGAGTTACGATTAGTCAGCGGGACTGTTCATTCCGTACGATTCCCTAATTGTTTCGAGCGTTATGTAATGTGCATTAAAATTGCGCCACCAATGCTATACATTATCGCGTGTTCTATGCAATTCATTCGCGTTAGAGATTTCGCGATCACCGCGAGATTGTCGACCGTTCAGATTTTTCATACGTGCATTCGCGTCGCAAGGAGCGAAACAGAAGTTGAGTCTCGTGAAATAAAATTCGCCAAAGTATCGCGGAGATAAGCTTCGGCGATGCGTCCCGAACGTACGATCCGACGTGATGAGGTGATCACGTATCTGCTACAGCAATTATTCCGCTCGCGGATGCGTTAATTTCACGATCGTCGGTACTCAGTGCGGCGTGACTCGCAAGTATGTCTTGCCAAAACGTCAGGATTTGTCGTACCGTGAAAAATCTGCATATTAAACACGAATTCCGATTTTATCTCTGATTAGTCGAGTTTGCAAATTCGCGCGATAAATCAAAACTTTTCGTCGATACCATCGAGATATGGACGTTAAGCGTCGCCGAAACATGGATATTCGCGTCGCGAGTGCAGTGAACTGCAATCAACGACTTGGGACGACATGAGGAAGTTGGACAGAGTCCCGGATAAGACGATGGACTTGGCTGGACTCTGCTGGACTTGGCTGGACGATGGTGAACGTCGGTGGTCGTCTGCGGTGAGTGTGCAATTCCGACGCATGCGATGCGTTATCACATAATGTATTCGTATCGTAAATTGCATTGGTTTCCAACGAAGAGCGTAGGGGCAGTCACACGTTGCCATTTAAGAGCATTTGGAGTTCAACACTCGGAGAATTTAATATCCATGTTGAAAGTGCAACATTTCATTGCGCGCTCTGGATTAAGTATAATTGGAGTCTAAAATTTTGCATGAGTATACAGCTTGGATAAACATTCCGAAATAGAGGCATTTGTCATTTCGAAATTACATATTGCTAAATTTACTTTCGAGAGAGAGAAAGAGCTTTATCCGTGAGTATTTTTGAAATATTATTATTTGAAATATTATGTCATTGGTGCGCGGCATCTGAGAACGCATTCGATATTTTGAGGCAACGTGCGCGCTCGCTCTCTGTGTTTCCGCGCGAGTATATCTGCTCCGGTATACTTTTCCTACAAAATCTACGACGCAGGCACGATCATTCTTTGTGCCACGGCTAAAGCCTTAGCGCTCCTTCTAATGGCGCATTCAATATTCGTAATGAAGAACTGTACCTACTTCAGTCTTCATTCATTCATCGCGGAACTCTTTGTCCGGCTCTTGTCCTTCTTCGCTGTGAATGCGCGTACATACTTAGAATTCTCTTTCTCCGTTACTCGCGAGCCTTCCACCTTGTTTTGCCTCCCCCTAGCTCTTTATTCCACCCCACCGCCCTCCCCCTATCTTCCTCCCTCGGCCCCGACCACCCTAGCCTTCCTCTTCGCCATTTTATTTATTCGTTCTGCCGTTCTTGCTTCGCCATCGATTCCCCTCGAGACCTCGTAGCTTCCACGATAATTAAACTAATACCAATTAAACGTACCGACGACCGTTAATTAATGGTTTCTGTACCATTCGAGCGCGGCTCGCACCGCTGCCGCGCCGTTTGTAATATTACGTTATATGCATCCGAGTTTGGGTAGTTGCTAATTTTAATGTCGTGTGGCCTCTCTCTCTTTCTCTCTCTGTCTCTCTTTCTCTTTCTCTCTCTCTTTCTCGCTCGCTTATTCGCTCGCAGTGGAGATTATGTTTTCTCGCGTAATGTTTACATAATTTCCTTTCTCGTATTTTGCACGCTTAATATGTTTCCCGCGCTCCCACCGCCCGCCTTACATAAGCCCTGCGAGCGGATTAGTTTCCTACGGACCTGGTACACGAATTCAAGCGAGAAACCAGAAAAAAACGGTTGATTACTTGCAGCTCTTACCGACAAACATGCATGACACGTTAATTTGCGTGGTATAGTCAGGCGTGACATTTTATAATTGGCCATAGTTATATATAAGAATGGTCCAACCCACAAAATTATGATTTCTGAACTTTTGTTTACTAATGGATAACCCATATCACATAAAACGGTTCAAACTTTCTGGGCGCCTAATATTAATTAAAGAAAAATTTATTTCCTGCTAAGTGCACTATTTTTTTTAGTTGCGTTTTTTTTACCTCTTTTAAGTATTAAGTTTGTCAATGAATATCCTTAACCCTTTAAGGCGCATAATTCATGTAACATTCTAGTAACTTTTTTTTTATGAAATATTGTAAAAAACACTCTAAATAGCACATTTATAAGGTTTCAACTGCCCGATCCGAAGTGGTCCCTATTGTTACCAGTGATACTTAAAGGATTAAAGAAAATAATATTGACTATGTTAGATTTCTTGAACAATTGCGAAGAACCTTGGTTCTATCTGTGACTTTTATGAATCATGTATCAAATTTTTATTTTCATTTCTCTCGAAGCATATTTCAAAACGTGGATCATTGTTACATAACTACGGCTATTTTTATATTCTCGGGTATTCGAAAAATATATATGAACGCTCATATGCGGACGCGTTTACCTACTCGGATGTTTCATTGATGTTTGGAATATTCGGTTAATTTATTTTACAATAATCTGAATACATGGATATTGAAGAGGCGCGTTTGTAATCCTTTGTTTTTACACGGGAAAACGTGCTGAGCGAACAAAATCACGCGAACGATAGGAATCCGAGGAGCGAGTACCGTGGAGATCGCAAAAATCCGGATCGGCGGTCCTTCCGGTACGACCTGGTATTTAACACGGTAGCATGGAGGGTATTCTAATTAAACGGTACACGTTTGATCTCCGGATGGAATGCCAAGACCGGCATCGATTACTCAGCCAATTTGCGACACGACTCGCCGCCTCTCTGTCCCCCTTCGAGTCAGTTTCCGTGAATCTCCAGGAGGAAATGCCATGAATGCGGCTATATCGCGCGTTCGAGGTCGAAGAATCCGAGCATGAGGATTAAGTCGAAGAGCCGATAAATTGGCATAGGTCACAAGAGAGAGAGAGAGAGAGAGAGAGAGAGAGAGAGAGAGAGAGAGACGAGGAGAAAATGCTCCGCGCGTGCTACCGACATTTATTAACTTCGAAATTCAGATCCGTATTAGTAGACGTTACTTGCCTCAGGTGAGATACTCAGATTTGAATTTAAGCCCTATTAATAGTCGTTGCTTAAAACTTACTACGTGTTTCAACTGGTAAACTCAGATTTAACTCTAAATTCAGACTTGAGTGTCACGTAAAACAAGACTCAAATAAGGCTATACAGGCCTTAAAAGTTAGTTATGAGTTTTAAAACTGAATCGTGAAGATGTAGTATATCGTATAAAAATATAATACAATTCAAAATAAATAACTCAAATCTAACTGTAGATTCAGATCTGAGTATTTTGCGTAGAATAAGTTTCAAGTGAAGGATTATTAATGTAGGCTTCAAACAAAAGAAATTATCGCTTTACGATTTGGCGAGATTATAGGGGAGACACTCCACGAAATTCGCGGAGATTGTGATGAGAAATTCGCGGCTCCTACTTTGTATTGACTTTTCAATTTCCCAGAGCCGCTAAAGCGCGAGTCCGTTGATGCGCACGCTCGTTTTCCGGTTTAAAAAGAACGCTTTGTAGGCAACGACGCGCGAGCCACCAAGTTCCTCCCTGTGTCTTTCACGATAGCGTAAGTCCCCGCAAAATCCCGCGACGGAAATGGAAAAAGCATAGCGCACCACCGGCGCGTACGGCCGTATGACTGCGAGAACCGCAGCGACATCCGCCGTGGCGTTCTCTCGCAGCCGGGCTGCGGTAGGATTAAGTAGCGACGCGTGCTTCCTGCCGGCTCCACGCCCGGGCCCTTAATTCGCTCCTCGAGGGAACGTGACCCGGGGATAAATTTGAATTTGTGCAAACTGCACTTGCCCCCTCGCGACCAAGGGCCTCGAGAGAGACAGACAGACAAGGAGAGAAGGAGGGAGGTAGGAGTGCAGGCTAGGGTTGCTCTTATACGGGAAGAGAGAAAGAGAGAGAGAGAGAGAGAGAGAAAATGACGAGATCTAAGACAACAGCCTTAAGAGGATGCCGGACATGAAAACTTTACCGACATAACATTGACTTTTTTCTGCAAAGTTTACATCTTGTTGCTTGCACAGAATTACAAACGTTTTTACACAACAAAAATGCATGTAAAAATTAATTGGAGCATTGCTCAATATGTGACGAAAACGAAAAAAATGTTTAAATTTAAATTTTGAGCTGTCAGTTAGTGCAATATTTGTTTAATACATTCTGCAGGTCGTAGATACCTAAACTGTGGATACTTCAATTAGGAAAATTTCAAAGATCACTATTACACTTTCAGAATTTAATTTCGATGCCAAAAAAGATACGAAAAGTTTGTAGAAAAGTTTATGATTACATGCGGTTAAGTTTTCTGACAACTATGATAAAGTAGAGCGAAAAATTAGTTTACGGATATTTTTCGAGATAGCACTATACTTTTATCGCACTTTTCACAACGTCCGAATATTCCGAGTGTGCATATATATATATATGTATATAGTTTCCCACGCAACTGTTTATCGCAACGATGATAATAAATGAATAAAGACGAAGAAATCGAAAAGAAATCGTCGTAACGACACGCCCGAATTGCTTTCCTATGCGTAATAGCAATAATTAAATAATAACCGAATAAATTAAATAATAATCGAATAAAGAAATAATAATACTCGAATATTAAATAGTAGTGATAATAATATTTGCTCAACAATCGTGTGATAATATTCATGAGTAGATAATAACGGAATAACGATGATCGAATAATCGGTAATAACAATACCTAGGTAACGGTTGTAACAAAAACTCTAGGTTTCACAAAGGCTAGGAGTAAACACGTCATGTAAACACGCGTGC